TGTATATATACTCAGGGGTATTTTGTGGCTCTCGGTCTGTTACAAATTGGCCACCCCTGCTCTAGGCTATATGAAATCTACAACCGGGACCAAATTACATAGAACAGCGAACCCTGTAAAATTTTAATGTGAAAAGTGTTTCCGCTATACATGACACGATTGGCACAAACCTGACCCCTCCTTTTCCATCGATGCAGAAGGTAGCAGCAGCAGCAACAGCAGCATCAGCGCTTAATTAGAATCGAGGAATATTTTCTGCCCCTGCCTACCCCAATGTCCTGGACCCTGCACCTACAATGCCTTGACAACAGTTTTCTAGAGCTCAGCCCAGGACGGCTCCGGTTGAAATTGAACCCCGAGCAACATTAAATAACGAGTTGGTCACAACGTTGTTTCCCCCCCTAATTGTCCTGTTTATTTAATCCACCGTTGAATCTTCGACAAGGCTTGTCGAAGATTCATATAACTTGGGTCTTGTCGATATCACGTCTTAGAAAGGCCGAACCTTAACCTGGCTGTTTGACACGTGTGTAATGTTTTTTTGTAGATAAAAGTACGTTTCTTTGTTAATTAATTGATAAGCCAACTGGGCATTTATAATTAGGCAGTACACAGTATAAACATACATTAATAATGCTGCCCTCTAGTGGCGCGTATGTAATCTGTCATTTTCATTCGGGCACCTGAAGCAATATTTACCCTTTTATGAATGAACGTATGATTAGATAGTCCACAGTACATGTATCGAAGTCAGTGGCATGCCGTAGTATAAAATCTACGCCGCATGGCGTGCCCAAGTAGTTTTTACTCATTTCTTAACTCCCCTGTTTGCCTTCTCAACAAGAACAACACGAAGACGAACAGCACATGAACCACTTATTGACTGCTCAATGCTCATCATCATCATCAGCATCGGCAGCAACCATTTGTAATCCACTGCTGGATGACGTCCTCCCTCCCCAATCTGCCGCCATCTCTCACGATCCAGCGAAATAAAAAAATAATCCATACTCTTTGGTTCTTTCGGTAAAGTCACGTAGTAGGTATAAAATAAAAGAAATCACGACGTTTCGGGCGCAACACAAGCGTCCGCTCGTGATTTATTCGATTTTATACCCACGTGACTTTACCGAAAGAACCAAAGAGTATGGAACACCTGCAGTCACGAAAGCTTTAAATCAAGATTGAATTATAATTCACCTAAATTCCAGCCACACGAGCTTGATTCCATCTGTTTGGAGCTGTCATCATGAATGATGAGATGAGAAATGGATGTGTCCGAGGACAGAGATTCAGGTTGCACTACCATGGAGGGTGCGTGGGAGGAGGGGCATATATGTGACCATACTTCACCACACTGGTCAATGCGGGTTGGTAAAAATACTCACCCCACGGGGGCTGGGGGGGGGGGCGCACACCCCTCACGTTTAAGAGATTCACCTACTTGTTCGATGCCTTATTTAACGTAATCTATAATACACATCACGGCTCTTCTCTATGCGAGTCTGGAGACTAGACCAGACACATTATACTCGAGTGACATTACGACGCTTAGGCATGGCGGGTAATACATCAAGTTTGGTCAAAGCTTTGGTGCCTCTCGAGTCTAAAATAACAAAAAATCACATTCCGGTCCACATGTTTCACGTAAGAGTAAGGTCATGGATTCTCCCTACCGACCCATTCACCATCCAGACGTGCCAACGGTCAGGAATCGAACTCAAGATGGTTGGGTTCGCAGCGCAGCGCGCTCAACACTGCGCCACACATTCAATAACAAGGAGATTAAATAATCGGGGGGGCTTTCGCTAATACCCACGGCCACCAAATGGTGTGACACGGCGATTTAACGAGAAGCTCGGTTTGCAGTGTCTAGCGCCAAGTCTGTTGCAACGGATGTCGATAGTCGTCGACACACGCGGTGCTATCGCCTTCAGAGAGACGGCCGTGAAAACCGTGAGTGCTTCTCGACTGGTTCGCACACTTTTGCCGTGGATCTATTACAGCATATATACATATTCTAAGTCACAGTAATTGAGCACAGCCCCATAGGCCACGCAACAAACGGCGCTGCTGAAGGTGTAAATAGGTTGAGAGTTAACGCTGTTAAGTTTGTTTAATTTCCTGCCACGGCTAACATCAGCGGCGATTAAAATCGGTACTTGGACCTGCTTTACCACGACAGCAGCCGTGGTAAAGCAAGGCGAATCAAATAAAGTCCGTGAGCGAGTGACAGCTCTGTGCGCAGGGGAGATCTCCATCCAGCAGTGGATTGACAGAGTGAGCTGTGTTGTGGATCGTCATGAAGATGTCATCGTCTAGCCCCCCCCCTTTCTCCTGTCCGGTTAAACCGCGGGGTGGAAATTAGTCACGATTAGTCACGATTAGTCACGGCCTCCACAACACAAACTCGGCTTCCTTCACCGCCCGACCTCCCGCACGCCGCACTGACGACACGCACAAAACCCGGACCAGATGTGCGAGACACTCACCCACTCACTCACCCACTCACTCACTTACTCACTCACCCACTCACTCACTCACTTACTCACCCACTCACTCACTTACTCACTCACTCACCCACTCACTCACCCACTCACTCACTCACTCACCCACTCACTCACTCACTCACCCACTCACTCACCCACTCACTCACCCACTCACTCACCCACTCACTCACTTACTCACTCACCCACTCACTCACTCACCCACTCACTCACTCACCCACTCACTCACTCACTCACCCACTCACCCACTCACTCACTCACCCACTCACCCACTCACTCACCCACTCACTCACCCACTCACTCACTTACTCACTCACTCACCCACTCACCCACTCACTCACCCACTCACTCACTCACCCACTCACCCACTCACTCACCCACTCACCCACTCACTCACTTACTCACTCACTCACCCACTCACCCACTCACTCACTCACTCACCCACTCACTCACCCACTCACTCACTTACTCACTCACTCATCCACTCACCCACTCACTCACTCACCCACTCACTCACCCACTCACTCACTTACTCACTCACCCACTCACCCACTCATGTACTCACTCACTTACTCACTCACCCACTCACTCACCCACTCACTCACACACTCACTCACCCACTCACTCACTTACTCACTCACTCACCCACTCACTCACTCACCCACTCACTCACTTACTCACCCACCCACTCACTCACCCACTCACTCACTTACTCACTCACCAACTCACCCACTCACTCACCCACTCACTCACCCACTCACTCACCCACTCACCCACTCACTCACCTACTCACCCACTCACCCACCCACTCACTCACCCACTCACTCACTTACTCACTCACCCACCCACTCACTCACTTACTCACCCACTCACTCACCCACTCACTCACTTACTCACTCACCCACTCACTCACCCACCCACTCACTCACCCACTCACCCACCTACTCACTCACCCACTCACTCACCCACTCACTCACCCACCCACTCACTCACTCACCCACCCACCCACTCACTCACTCACTCACCCACTCACCCACCTACTCACTCACCCACTCACTCACTCACACACACACCCACTCACTCACTCACTCACCCACTCACTCACTTACTCACTCACCCACTCACCCACCTACTCACTCACCCACCCACTCACTCACTCACCCACTCACTCACTTACTCACACACTCACACACCCACTCACTCACTCACCCACTCACGTACCCACCTACTCACTTACTCACTCACTCACCCACTCACTCACTCATCCACCCACTCACTCACTCACCCACTCACTCACTCACACACCCACTCACTTATTCACCCACTCACCCACTCACTCACACACCCACTCACTTACTCACCCACTCACTCACTCACCCACTCACCCACCTACTCACTCACCCACCCACTCACTCACACACACACCCACTCACTCACTCACCCACTCACCCACTCACTCACTCACTCACCCACTCACTCACCCATTCACTCACTCACCCACTCACTCACTCACTCACCCACTCACCCACCTACTCACTCACCCACCCACTCACTCACACACACACCCACTCACTCACCCACTCACTCACCCACTCACACACTCACTCACTCATTCACCCACCCACTCACCCACTCACTCACTCACTCACCCACCCACTCACTCACTCACCCACTCACTCACTCACCCACTCGCTCACTCACTCACTCACACACCCACTCACTTACTCACCCACTCACTCACACACACACCCACTCACTTACTCATCCACTCACTCACTCACCCACTCACCCACCTACTCACTCACCCACTCACTCACACACACACCCACTCACTCACTCACCCACTCACTCACTCACCCACTCACTCACCCACCCACCCACTCACTCACTCACCCACTCACCCACCTACTCACTCACCCACTCACTCACACACACACCCACTCACTCACTCACCCACTCACTCACCCACCCACTCACTTACTCACTCACTCACACACCCACTCACTCACTCACTCACCCACTCACTCACTCACTCACCCACTCACTCACTCACCCACTCACTCACTCACTCACCCACTCACCCACCTACTCACTCACCCACTCACTCACACACACACCCACTCACTCACTCACCCACTCACTCACCCACCCACTCACTTACTCACTCACTCACACACCCACTCACTCACTCACCCACTCACTCACTCACCTACTCACTCACTCACCCACTCACTCACTCACTCACCCACTAACTCACTCACCCACTCACCCACTACTCACTCACCCACTCACTCACTCACCTACCCACTCACTCACTCACCCACTCACTCACTCACCCACACACTCACCCACTCCCGAACGGGCAGGCGGGCGGGCGATCTGGCGCTTTCCCACGCCGAGGGGGAGCGGATCATCGGGAGGGGGTGGCAGGGTGAGTGATGTGGTCGTGGGTAGGTCTGGGGGTTTGGGGGTGTGGGTGGGGGGCTCTCGTACCTTCAGCGCAGTAGGGCCCCCTCCAGCCCGGTAGACACACCTTCTGGCCCGTGTCTCCGCACGTGAAGTGCCCGAAGGCGTCGTCCCGGGCGCGACAGATAGCGGAGCAGCTCTCTCCGTAGTAGTTCTCGGCGCACACGACCCGGTAGGAGTAGCGCAGCGCGGCGTGGCGCGCCACGTGCGTGTCCTGGGACCAGTCATCGCCCGCGCTCAGGTGGCGCTGCGTGGCCAGGCGGCTGACGAGGCGCGCCGGGTCATCTGCGGATTGGCCAGCGGAATTACAAATTGCCCGAGCGATTAAGCACGGGGGTGGGGGGCAGGCGAAGACACGAGTTGGGCCCCCCCCCCCCCCCTTTGACAAACACTACGAGAGACGAATTAAATATTGGTGCCCCTCCTGACCGATTGACGCACCCCCACCGGAGCTGATAATGTCGCCGTTACTACGCCAAGAGATCTAATGGATAGAAACGTTACCGGGTGTCCGTAAAGGTGAAAAGGCGTAGGTCTGCAATTACTTGATCGTGTCACTGCTAGTATAAATAATAGCCTCTGCTGGAGACAGTCTGTAGAGGGCACCTCTAGTCTCAAGGGTATTTTGCTCACTATTCCACATCTTGGAAGAGGTCGGAGTATCGTATTTCGCATGAGTAAAAATACACGTTTGAAACTAATTTTAAGGTGTGAAATTTAGATATCGGTGGAGCCGCGGCGCGGTGGTTAGTGCGGTCACATCAATGACGCGTGACATCTACACCGGTCAAATCCACCACCACCCACCGCTAACCCCCCCCCGCCTTACCCCCCCCCCCCCCCCCGCAATGACCAGCGTGGTGAGTATTGTTGTCAAACAACCTCGATCACGGTGGGGAGCCCTTAATTGAGCAGAGTCCATTGTCAAAGGGGCTGGAACAATGTAGTTATGAATCACACACACACACACAGTATAATTAAATTGCACGCAGTTTAAATTCCACGTCATTTAGAGAACGCTGCCCGCCTCTGTGGGTGCAGACGGTCACGTTGCCCGCGTCCTTCCGAGTGCACGCACGCTGCGTGTTTACTGCGTCCTCGTCCTGCACGCATCTTTACCGTCCAGTGGCCCGTGCTGACATCTCGGGGCATCATTGACGCTCCCTCAATGCAGCCCCACGCTGGGGGGTCTGGGGGGGGGGGGCGCGCTGGCACGCGTGTGTGTGTGTGTGTATCTGTGTGATTAACTCGGTAACAGGAGCAGGCTTATAGTGTGTCCTCCCTCACCACCCACCCACCCACCCACCCCCCTGGCAGTTCAATTGGTATCTGCACGGCCCCCTCAAATGTTGCGAAAACCGTGAGGGTCAATGGACTCGGTGCACGGTTTCACTGTGGGCCACGAACGCCCTCCTCCACCGCGCAGTTCGACCTTCCGCATAGATGTTCGCGGTTGTTGCTGTTGTAGATCATCCCGATGTGTTTTCGGCTTGTACCGTGGATGTGTGGGATACAGCGAATGCAATTGGGATGAGTATTTTAACGTTTGATATCGTCGTCATCGTCGTCGTCATCTTTGCAATGTGCTCGTTTTCTCCATACAAGTGCCGCAAGGCACGAGATAGAGGAACAAAAGCATGCACAGCACTCCCCCCACCGTTTGTCAAGCTACTGCTGAATGAGGGTCTCCCCGCACCACGGGCGAGTCGTGGAGGTTATTTGACCGTGCGTGCCGCCGGTGCTGCGATGCGGCGTGGAGGAAGCTCTCGGTGCGTGCAGAGAGAGAGAGAAAGAGAGAGAGAGGGAGGGGAGTCGGACATCGGTGCTGAGCGGCACAGCCCGCGAACACGTGCGGAGCGCGACCTTCATTCAGGGCGCTCCGCAGCGGAGGCCGCGGGGTGACGCAACGCGCGCGGCGCGGGCCCAACTCAGCGGCGACGGCGCCGCGTGGGGCCCCCCACTGGGGCCCCCCACCCCCCCCCCACCACCCCCCCACCTGTGGTGAGGTCCCCGTCGGCCTCCGCGTGCCAAGCGTCGATGATGAGCGAGAAGGTTCCCTGCAGAACACCACGGGGGGGGGGGGGGGGGGGGGGGGTGAGGTGAGGCGCGCGCGATGGAGGTGAAGGGGGTCTGGGTGCGGTGAGTGCGGTGAGTGCGTGATTTTCGCAAGCCCGTCCTCGCCGCCGCACGTCACCCTCTTGTTGTTGTTGTTTAGCTCTGTTGCGGGTAAGTCGTCACGCACTTGCACGCGCCCGATGATTGCTAAACGCGTGCTGCGTGGCGTGCGTGCGCAGACAGCGCTGATTCATAATTACGACGGAGATCGTGTTGTGTGAGCGCGTGCACGCCTGCGCGCGTGTCCGCGCGTGTGTCCGTGCGTATCGAATTTTAGTGAGCGCCGATACGTGTTTAACAACGATTGGGCACGTGCAGCGCGTAACGACTCATCCTTTTGTATCTGTGGCAGGTTGGAAAACGGAATAACGAGCGCGAGATGGACGCCTACCGGCCACGTGAAGCTGAAGGGGAAGCGGATGGGATTTTGGAAGCGGTCCGAATCGCGCACGGCGAATGAGTTGAGACCCAGCACCGGGGTGACGACACTGCCGTAGGTGCAGGGCGGATCGGGCATGATGCTGGCTTGATAGTGCTTGAGGCAGACCGAGAAGAAGGTCATGCACTCCGCGCTCGCCCCACACGAGGCGCCATCCAGGAGGAGTCCCTGATCATTCGTGAACTCCTGCAGCCTCAGCTCAAAGATCCCAGCGCACGCAGCCTGCGCGCGAAACGTCGGATCACGACCGAGACGGAGAGACGACGGTGGGGGGTTGACATGCCAGACGTGATGCGAGACGGAGCTTGAGACCAGCCCCGGGGCGGGAGGCTGATCCCTCGGTCCCCTGCTGTAAAGCTCAAACACGTTTCTATTTTCTTAGTAATGTCAAAAAATACTGGCATAATATTGAACACCGGTGGCGATTTTTTTATTCTTCTTCTAAGTTCGCCAGCTGTGATAACGACTGTGTCCCACCACACGCACTTTTAATGATCGCTCACACAACCGACTGATCTGCTGCGGTATTCGCTTTAATTTGCCAGCTTCGCTTGTTCCAACAAACCGTCTGCAATAGTTGGAGTAGCCTCGATCAAATCCCCCCAAAACGAGTGCGACAGGGATCGCAACCTCTCCTCGTTCACAACGAGGGCGAGAGCTCGATCAGAACGCATCAGAGGTCATACCAAATACCCGTGATGTGTAGCGTGTAACATGTGCTTAAAGTTTAACGTTGACTGTGCGCCCCCCACACACACATTTTAAACAAGATCACGCTACAGGGTTGCATTGCAGATGAACACCACCGAGTGGGGGTGAATAGAGCAGAGTGAGCGATGCAATGGAGCGTGAGGATTTGAGAGAGAGAGAGAGCCAGAGAGAGAGACGCGCCGCTACCTGCTGCAGCAGTAGCATTGGGAAGATGACGAAGGAGACGATCCACAGTCGCAGCACAGCCTCCGGTAACACATCCATGACGCGACCGCGCTCTGCGCTGCCTCTGTAAGCCAATGCCGCCTGTGTCATCCGGCGGAGCCGCCGGGCGCGTTGAGCGTGGCTCACAAGGCACCACCCTCCCGGTGGGGCAGGAGCAGCCAAGGCGCTCAGCGGACGGCTCGGTGATTGATGAGTCAGGCTGGCCGCTGCTCGGTACAAGCCAGGCTGCCGTCACGATGATGACGGGAGTAGAAGAGGAGGAGGAGGAGGACGACGCGTGGATGAGGAGGAGTGAGGGAGGGAGGGAAGGGACACGCGCGCGCTCGTGGTGCTGTGATGACAGCGCTCAGCTCACAGCAGCACGTGTGCGTGCGTGCGTGAGCTCGCTGTGAGCCCTGCCCCGCGACCCCCCCCACGCTTTAAGAGGCAGTGGCTCCGCGTTCAGCCCAATCACTGCGGGGAGGCCGGTCCGCGTGGTCACTCCTCCTCATCCTCCACGCCGCCAGCTGACGCCATACGCCACCACCACCACCACCAATAACCACCGCCGCTGTTAGCGCAGTGGCGTCTGAATTAAATAACTGGCGGTAGGTGTCGACAGATGTGCGGGGCTATCATAACAGCTAGAAGAGTGGTGGGAATCTTCATCCCTTGCTCCCCCCCCCCACTCCTCCTTCTCGCCCCCCCCCCCCCCCCCCCCCCCCCCCGTGGTGTTCAATCTGCATTAATTCTCGAGCAAACACAGGCGGACTTAGCGAGCGGCAGGGAGGGGAAGCAGGCTGCGCCGTCTGCCGTGCGAGATAGCGCACCACTCTCCGACGGGACGCGGCCGAGCGCCTCATTATTGCCTCTTGTTGCAAGTCGCCATCATCATCATCATCCCTCAGCCATGGTCGATCCACTGTTGAATGAAGTGCCTCCTCCGAGCCGCCGCCATCCACGACGAGCCTGCGATGCAACAATCCACCGAGCTGATTTGACCCCTCAATCTCTCCCCGACGGACTTCCTCTCGGACTCGTTCCGTCCCTAGGCAGCCACCCCCGCCGCTATTCTTGACAATCGTCCATCATCATCATCCTTTCGAGCGACTTACTTTGCTTAACGGTTTGAATGAAAGCATTAACCTTCCGCAATGTTGCGTGGATGTGGTTGGTGGGTTACTACATCGCATCATAGTTTGTAGTGGCGGCTGCATGTGGAGGCCTTCATCCAGCAGTGGATTAACCATGGCTGATGATGATGAGTTGCGGGCTCTGATGGCACCATGCCTTCGCTGTCCGTGGTGCTGCTCACACGTGCACTGATCAGCGGTGGCAAAATCCATTGTTGTACTGTACTCTGTATGCTCCCACGTATTTGATCCCCTTCCTCCCCCGACTGCCACTGACCACCAGCGTGATGAAGTTTAGTCAAATAACCGTCACGACCCGTACCGTTTTGGGAGGCTCTCATCCAGCAGTAGCTTGACAAAGGGGCTGCACTTTTCCAAAGTGTTCCGTCTGGTGGCTTGGCGAGGCTTCTTTATCGACAATGATCAAAATTGTCGCGATGATAACGAGAATGAAACGTGTTAATATTCATCCCACACATTCGGTGTAGGTGGAAATTCCATTTGAGAGTCAAACGCACATTTAATTAAAACTGTTCATAATAATAAAGCTCTTAAATGTGAGTGTGAATTTAATGTGTGTTTGGCTTCGCGAACGTGATTACATTAAACGAGTGCCCTCTATTTCGTCTTCATCGGTACACTATTCTTTGTGCAAAGTTTTAAATGGTATTGTCCAGTACTTCACTTTCCCCCCCAAAATATTTCGGGCCCCTCAACGTCCAATTCCCCGGACACCACCCACCACCCCCCACCCACCACCACCCACCCACCACCCTCAGGGGATATTTTCGAGAGCTCATCCCCGGATAGCTCCATCTGAAATTAGGCCCCGTTCTTGTTGTTGTTTGTATCTAGGACTCTAAAATTACGTCTGCAGGATGCTGCGGTAGTATAATGGTTACCAACGCTGTACTTGCGATCCAGAGGTCGCCGTCTTGATCTCTTGACGCGCCACTTGAAGCAACGAGCAGCTTCCTGAAATACCCTCGCCTCGGACCACCAAGCAGTAGCAACGGGTACAGCGTACATCGGTTTCGTCCAAGGCGTCTGACCAAGTGGAAGAATTGGCCACAGATGTTCTCTAAATGTCCCTGTGCTGGAGGGGGCTTCTGCCAACGGTGCACTTTTTCGACAATACAGTGTTGGAAAAGTAAAGTGAATGAAATCCATCCTATTTTAAAACTTTTCCTCCTGTCACACGAAACGCATTTTTGTTCCAACGATGCTGTTAAGCCTTCTTGGGAGGGACTTAGGTCAAGCCATTACACAGCCAATTCAGGACATGTGCTTTCACATTTTCATCACTTTACATTATACACGCTTCACATCGAGTGTTTTTTACTTTTTGCACCACTCAGAATTCTGTGGATAGTAGTGGTAATAATGGGGGTAACGTAGATTATGTTTTTTTTCATTCGTTTACTATTATCATGAACAGCATTTACTATTACTTCCACTATTTTTTTTATTTTACCAGGTAAGACCAGAAGCGACCCGGCCACAAATAATAACTCGGCGAAGTGACTTCTTACGTGGAAATCTATTGCAGCCAACTACTCTAAACGCAATGTTTCTAAAAAACCGGAGGACTCGGTGATTATTCCACGCGACCACAGGGAGAAAGACACCGCAAACTACAAATATACAGCAGGTGTCAGCGTAGGGGTCGAACCCACGACCTCCTGCATAACAGGCGCCAAAAATGCGCTGTTAACTTCGATAGTAGTGATGATAATGATGGAGGTGTGATGGTGATTTTAATTGTAATAGACCGAAAACACGTTTCCAAATATATTTCCGCAATTTGTTTCAGGAGATTCATTCATATTCGCGTTGAATTATGAAAGTCTCCTTTAAAAATGTATAACACCGCAGATAAATCAAACATTGTAAAAAAATTATGTATGAATGAAAATTAACGATGTTATGCTATGGCTTAACGCTGCAATATTATGTAATATGTTAAGAAAACGTCACCTTTGGTAAATGCGTAGAGCAATGTAATGTATTGTCTAAGCCTATCACCATCGCCTCTCCACCATCTTATTTACAGTCGTTATCCCTGCCAATCCTATTACAGTACAGTACAATAGTAACCATCATCAGTATCACCACCACTAATGCAACATCATCTACACTATAATAACCATCTCCCCCACCATCAACAGTACAGTACAATAGTAACCATCATCAGTATCACCACCACTAATGCAACATCATCTACACTATAATAACCATCTACCCCACTATCAACAGTACAGTACAATAGTAACCATCATCAGTATCACCACCACTAATGCAACATCATCTACACTATAATCACCATCTCCCCCACCATCAACAGTACAGTACAATAGTAACCATCATCAGTATCACCACCACTAATGCAACATCATCTACACTATAATAACCATCTACCCCACCATCAACAGTACAGTACAATAGTAACCATCATCAGTATCACCACCACTAATGCAACATCATCTACACTATAATAACCATCTACCCCACTATCAACAGTACAGTACAATAGTAACCATCATCAGTATCACCACCACTAATGCAACATCATCTACACTCTAATCACCCTCTCCCCCACCATCAACATTATCAGCATCGCTCTGGGGCAATGGACACTAAACATGTGTGCGGTGGAAGGCCAGAGAAACCAATAAAACAATGTTTGTTAAATGTAACTCAATATGTATGGTAGGGTTGGCCAAGCTCCAGCTCTGAGGGCCCCCAGAGCCAAAGCAGCTTTCCAATGTTCTGTGTTGTGCTCCGAATCTGAAGCAGAGATGGAGCTGAGGTCACTGGAGCTCTCGGATGCCTGGAGCCCAGAGCTGAGAGTTCGAGAGAATGGTTCCTTTATTTCCTGCCTCCACGGTCACATCAACAAAGCCCAACTGACTTCAGTTAAAGTAGTGTTTTTTTTTAAACCCTAATATTTATAGTCAATTTGAAAATGAAAGGGATGCAGAGATACTGTGCCTCGACACTTTTATCATTTCTAGGCCTTGAATGTTGTCATTCCCTGTATGCTGGACTACATTATACCCCCAAACTCGTCTCCAACTAGGGCATAATGCAGCTGCTCGAGATTTGACAGGCAAGGCCCGTTGGGAGCATATCTCTCCGTCGAGAGCGCATCTTGGCTATCGGTCCACTTCCGAGCTGTATTTAACATCCTTCTGGTAGTGTACAGACAGGACTTCAAGTGGCAATGCTTGCCCCCTTCTCGAGAACTATTGTCTTGCCAAGTGTGTTAGATCTACAGCACAGAGCTACCTCATAGTTCCTCACTCCCAACGCGTGACTTTGGGCAGGCGTTCCTTTAGCTGTCTGGCTGCAACTTTCAGGAACCATCTCAACATCAGAGGAGCTGATAGTTTAGGTTAATGTAAACATTGAAATACGATGACCGAAGCCCGGGCTGAAGATAGCCAGGACCCTGGACCAGCCTTCCAGCCCTTCTGAGGGCTAAGGCTCGGCGCATCCAGTGGTCAAGGCCCGCCGGGCCAGCGGTGGGTCAGATAGCCTCCCCTAGGTCCCAACCGGAGGACTCTAGGATAGTGGTAGACGTGTAAGTCCCGCCAAGATAGGAGGCTGTACCTCCTTAGGTTAGGAAGAGACCTGTGTGTAGGTCACACTAAGTCCGGAGGCTGTGCCTTCTTAGGGTATCGCGTGAGGGGACCGAAAACCCCTCTATGTGTTAAGGACTGTGTAAAGAGAAGTATTACAATAAACAGAGTGTGCCTCATAAGAAGTTTATTCGTCATTATAAACACTACACATTTGCAGTGACTGTGATTGTCACTGTGTGGTGCCGGGCTTACGAAGCCACGGCGGATAATGTGTTGGCATTATGTCTAGCTACTTACTGGGCATAGTACAGCCCTAGCGGGGCTTGGGTGAGCGCTGGTCAGCGCGGAGGCACCACGTGCAGTGTGCGGTGCGGGCTCCCGGTGAGGGAGCGAGAGGGAGCGTCAGCCAGCCAGGGTTACGTTGGGGCACGATACGTTGGTTGACCTGCTGACACGAGACCGGATGATATTGGAGGGGGGCCACCGGTGGACGGGGGCTGCTGGGCGGTCACGTGGTATAAAAGAGCTCTCGGGAACCTTCGGGAAAGAGCTCGAGAGATCTAGAAGGTAGGCAGGGCGAGGGGTGGAGTCAGCCCCAGCCCAGGCCGACATAACGGGGGCCCCGTGAGGGGCTCGAGGTTCTTCGTGTTGCTGGTGATGAAGATCCACGTCGGGGAGAAGAAGCCTCTAGCCACGCAGTCCGGGACCCAGCTTGTGGTCCGGGCCAGGATAGCGAACCGTGTCTAGTTCTACCGTAGCGTGGTTAGATGGGCATTCGAGAGCCGAGCGTAGATTGTGTGATGTTGTGTTTAAGTTGCGAAA